CAAGCCCTCGATTTCTAGGAAGAGGGGCTGTTCAACCAGGAGCCGGAGCTCTCTCAGGGCCCGGGGTCGTGTAGTGATCAGTAAAGTGGCCCTGGGTACCATTTTTCTTATCAGCAAACTACTCAAGAGGACAGGCACAGGCTTCGTTGCCTCCACGTCACCACATATATCACTGATGAGTGCCCCAGGAGGGGCTCTCAGCTCATCAAAACCATCAACAATGAACAGAATTTTCTGTGCTTGGGCTAGAAGGACCTCTTTAATGTCATCCTTCAGTTCTGGCCAATCTTTGGAGATCAGCTCTGCAAATGTACACGCCCCCACGTGATTGAGTTCCTTGCAGCTGAGATAGAAAGCGTACTTGACTATCTGACTGTAGCTCTTTGCCCAGTCCACCATACAATTTTTGGCCACTGTAGTTTTCCCAACACCTGCAGGACCATGCAAAACCACTGTATATGGTGACGGCTGTGTGGGTGTTCTGGAACTCAAGAACGGTATGAACATTTGGCTTCTCCAAGTGACATCATCACGGAAATTGTCACTGCTTCCTGGCCAAAATGTATCTTTCCAGATTAAAGAAAGTTTCTCCATCGTGTTTCTATAGCCAACCATTTTACCTGTAGTGGTATATAATAGGAGAGTTGGGGTGCCAGTGATTAAACTCACCTGAATAAAAAATATACCTTCTAAAGTACCAGAAATGAGAAGAATGAGGAAGAGAAGATTTACCTTCTATGCTCTTAAACTTATAAGGCAGCATTCACCCACCTGGCTTTTCTACCTCCAAGTCCTCTATGGTGTGTCCCAGCTCTGGGTTATCCATTTCTTGCACCTGTTCACCCTCTGAAATACACAAATATAAGCTTAACCCATAGGATTTTTTATATTTCTAGATCAGATACTGTTGTACATAAAGGAATATTCTTGAGTCCATTTTATTTTTATCCTAGTAAAATGCACGCAAGATTTATTATTTTAACTATTTTAGAGTGTACAATTCAGTAGCATTAGACAAATTCACAAGACTGTACACTACCTGGTCCCAAAACTTTTATGGCTCCCAAAAAGATATTCCATACCCATTCAGCAGTCACTACTCCTATCTTTATCTCCAGCCTCTGGCAACCACTAGTCTGCACTGTCTCTAAGATTTATCTATGTGGGATATTACATATAAATAGGAAGCTAAAAATGATCTTTAGCTTCCTTCACTTAGCATAACGTTTGATCTTCATGTTCCAGTATATCAGTACTTCATTCCCTTCTATAGATGGATAGAATTCTACTGTATGGAACATAGTTTTGTTTATCCATCCATTGACATTTGGATTGTTTCTCCCTTGTGGGTATTGTGAATAGTGCTGCTAACGAACATTCATATACAAGTTCTCATCTGAATACCTGTTTTCAATCTCTTAAGTACATATCTAGGAGAATCACCATATAACCCAGTAATTCTACATTTTTGAAGAACCAAACTGTTGAGTCTATTCTTGAATGTGGAAAGAGACTCAAGTTTCTATTCTGAATCAGGAAATATAACACACAAGTTACCTAGAGAGAAAAAAGGCAACTCTAAAGGAGATACTACGGACAAGATTGCGTCCCCCCAAACCCAGAATTTATATTGAGACTAACCCAGAATGTGACTATATTGGCGACAGGACTTTAAGAAACTAAGATTAATGGGCCGGCCCGGTGGAGCACTCCTACAGTGCGCCGCTTGGGAGTGTGGCGGTGCTCCCGCCAAGGGTTCGGATCCCACATACAGACCGGCTGCTCACTGGCTGAGCGAGGTGCAGGGGCAACACCGAGGGTTGCGATCCCGTTGCCGGTCCCGGTCCAGTACGGGCACGACACTGAGGGTTGCGATCCGTTGCTGGTCACGAAAAAAAAGACAAAAAGGAAAAAAAAAAAAAAAA